CCAACATCTCAGCTCAGGGACACTAATTTGGTTTTAATTTTATTCCATTATTTTTTATTGTTCTTATGTTCAGTTCTAGGATTCCATTCATTTACTCAACTCACTCAAATATTCATCCAACACATAGCTCCACAGTGAGCTATCTAGATGCTAAAAATAACCCCAAATGCTCTTTGGCTAAAACTCAATAAAAAATGTGAAAGGAAATGCTGAACAGCCCACTGAATATGACCTAATTCCTTTTCCTTAGGAGTTTATATAAATATGAATCTTCCACATACCTGTCTCCATTTTAAATTGGCTTCTGGGCTTTATACACTGGACACATGGATAAGGCTTAAATGGGTGTCATATGTATCAAAGGAAATGTTATCTTGGATCTACAACATCTGAAATATTACATAAACTGACATACCACAAGGAATTATAAAGATTCATTTTTGTCAAGAATGGAGTAAATAAGCTTCAGAGAATAAACTTTTGCAGAACTTATAAAGTTGAAGATAAACACTTCCAGTGACCCAGAAATTCCACTGCTGTTAATCATCTTTAAGAAACCCTCACATGTGTGCACCAGGCTATATAACAAGAGTGCTCACGGTGGCACTGTGAAAGGAAAAAAACGGAAGCAACTCAAATATCCACTAATAAGATACATAAACTGGAATACTATACAGCAATAAAAATTAACCAGCACTACATGTATCAATCCAAATGGATGCTGTAGATGAATCCCACACATACAACGCTGAAAAAAAAGTTCAAAAGAATAACTATATAAATCAATAGTTTGCAAAAATATATATAAAATGAGTATGTACTATACATACACATATCATGTGAAAGCATGAAAGATTAGATGAGAATGATAAACACCAAATCAGGATAACAGTTAAAAGGTTTCAGCTGAGTTAGTAATGTTTTATTTCTTAATCTAGGCAGCAGCTACATGGATGTTCACTATTTTAGTCTCTGTAACTTTTTATATGTTCAAATTATTTCATAATAAATTTTTTGAAAGAGCAGATCCATCTGTCAAAAGGTTAATCCTGCGCTCACCACTGTAACCAACTCCTAGCCACTTCTACCAGCTCAGCGAAGCGCCCACCATTCTCATGAAGACAACATCTCTTCCATGTGGGCAAGAGGCTTCACAAGAAGAGAAAAAAAAAAATCCTTTCCATATTCCTGGGTCATGCCCTGTGAGTTGTGTCTGTCCTCTCTTTAACACAGCTACTAAGGAATTGTGCCAGCCCCTGCCTTTCTCACGTACTTCAATCACGCATGTTCCACATGTTCATTCAGCAAACACCTTCTGAGCACCTACGAGGTGTAGGGCTCTGGGGTACAAAGATGAGTGAGCACAGTTGCAGCAAGGGTCTGAGACTGGTTCAGGGACAGCCCATTGAAACATAAAGCAGTAGGTGGAAAGCCAGAGTGAGCACAGGGTACTACCACAGCACAGGGGAGGGGTGGCGAGTGCACAGAGAGCTTCTGGGAGGAGATACTTCCTGAGCTTCCTTTAAAAGGCAGCACTCTTCTGCAGATGCACACAAAGAGGGTAGCCGATTAGAGAGTGAGGCAGGGTTATCAAGAGCCCACAGCCTGTCTAATCTCTGCAGCATCCCTGAGTGGATGCACAGAAAGTCTGC